GTGAAAAAGTGCATCTCCTGTTGTCTCTCACATCAAAATCCAGCCACATATTTGTTTAGAGCTGTTTTGGCTTGTAACTGGTGCTTGCTCTCCTGATTCAGACCAGAACACTTTTTCTCTGGAGGAAGAGTTATGGACTCGTGTTTTAGTTAAAAACGTCTTAATGCTGGATTAGTTTCAGCTTTTGTCTTCTCCAGACATTAACTGATGGACTGGAGTGCTGTGGATTATTGTGATATTTTTATCAGCTGTTAGGACTCTCATTCTGACGGCACCCATTCACTGCAGAGCATCCATTGCTGAGACACTGATGCAGTGCTACATTTCTCCAAATCTGATGAAGAAACAAACTCATCCTAATCTCGGCTGGCCTGAGGGTGAACACGTTCTCAGCAAATGTTCATTTTAAGCAGATAAGGTACAACTAAGGAAGAACTTAACTTATAAAGAAATTATAATCATGACAATAAAGAACGATGGAGGAGAAGAAGAGAAATGGAAAAATCGTTCAAACCAAGAACGCAGCGTCTGACACTATAAATGAACTGAAGTATTAGTAGAGGCTGTTATTGCACATGCTTTGAGTTAGTGATCTGAACGAAGCCTTTAACCTAAAGATCAAAACAGGGTGTGTAAATCATCCTGTACTGTTTGTGCTAAAAACATGAGCGATAAATCAAACTGAGCTGCCATATATCTATCCAATATAAAGCTGCGACTCTCAGACTCAAACACAACTTAACTAGTGATGAAACACACATCTACAGCGGATACATGAGTTTAGATTTTATTGTAGAAAAGCAGAGGAGGACAACAGTCAGACTGCAGGAAAACCAGACACACAAATCTGACAGACAAATGCTCTCACAATCTCTGCGACCGCTGCTGAGTTTCCTAAGTGTGTTAGGAAGATATTACACTGTATAGCTATTCATTAACAACAGGCATGTACTGGTTGATGAGGGCTGTTATTTCAGCGAGTGACATGACTGACAACATGCTTGATAACTGCAGGGATAAGAGTGGTTTTCTAACTATTTCAAGGGTTAGTTCAGCCAAAAAGTCAAATTCTGAGGTTATTTACACACCTTAAATCATTTCAAATGTGTATGATTTACTTTCTGCACAAAAGGAGACATTTATCAGAAAGTCCCAGCTGCTTTTTTCCACATAATAAGCTTCACTCAATGAAACACAAGCAGAATTTTGTTAACATGAAAAAAT